CAGGCATCTGAGGTTATTCGGGGTTAAGAGGAAGAACTGGGCATATGGGAAGGAGGGTTTTCCAAATGGGTGCCCAAGACTTTAGGGAAAGACATACTTCACGGTTGCCCACACCGACGAACGGGTTTTTCTTTGGGAACCCTAACCGAAGCCTTCGACTCAAAAGTCTAATCTGCAAGGCAGTGGGGCGTAAATCCAACGCGGGAGCGGGAGCGAAGCACCGGTGTGAGAGCTTCTAAAGCTCTGTCACGCAAGGTCTTTGAATTTCGATTGTGTTGTTCTCTCGTGCATTGATTATCGGTCCGCTTTTCGGGATCGGCCCTCAGACTGATGCACCCAATGAGACAAGCGGAACGTAGACGGGATAGCACCTTATTGGCTGGGGGCTGCCCACTTTGGGCGGGCGATAGCTGTCCAAAGAAGTGCGAAGCTCTCCCACTGTCGAGAGGAAGCCCCAGGTATCCCGCTCCTACGTCCATCTAACGGGGGGTTTTGACCGGTAAACTGCCCCTCATCGTGTTCACTTACTGGAGTGCTAACTCCTGGGGCGGGTGTGGATAGAAACGGAGGACAGGAGGTGCCCAAGCAGCTGGCCTTGTGAGACTGATCTTTGTCTGGCCCCTAACCCATGACCTTTCAGGCCTAATTGGATCTGCGGTTGAGCCATCCTGTTTAGGTCGCAGGATCATTGAGGCGCGCAAGCCATCATACCACGCCAAGGTGCAATCTCGTCGTGATGGGGTTAGGCGTGGTATTGAACCGGACGACAGCATAGCTGCATATATATATATATATATATATATATGCATATATGACGAACAACAGTTCTCTTGTGCCAGTTTGCGGGTGAACTGCACTAAGATTAATCAAAATAATGTAGAAAATAGTAAAATAGCACATATGGGTGAACTAACATAAAGGGTCACCAAGCCACAAGTACTGAAGATGACATCTTGGTGGGTTATGGCCTTACTCAAAGAAGAGATAGAAATAACTTATACGAGTACCACTATAGCATCACCTACAGTGTTCATAACGTTATATTATTTTATATTCACGCATCGCTCATATGTTCCAATTTCAAGTTGACATCATCATCATCATCATCGTACAGCGAAATACAGAGAAGTGAACTTCCCTGCTCGCTGCTAAACTTACAAAGCATATGCACTGGGGTTTGATGAACGGGTACTGCTAGGGTGTCCAGTCACTAAGCAGGAACATGTTGCAATGAATAACTTCCACGACGAGCTCACCGACTTCTCAGTGACCTTCACCAACAAAACCCGGAAAAAAATTATCCATTTAGGGATGGATTGGACATGCTATCTTGTATCATCATCATCGTCATCATCGTACAGAGATAGAGAACCGAGCTTCACTGATCGCTACCGATCTCCAAATGTACACAAAATGAGTGAGGAAGTACAAAATGGATAGGGTCTGGGTCTGATTCGAGGGAGACAAAGAAAGTTAACCTCCAGGGTCAACAGAGAGCACGCAATGTAAATGTGCATATATATCCTTTCAACCATTCTGACCCGATAAAAAATGTCAACATCAACGCCATTGCTGTCGGTTCGCTGCCATATCCTTCAGTGTTGCCAACCAACCAGTTCCAGAGTCCTCCGGACTCCAACCTCGGAGAAGGGAGACACCTACTACATCTAATCGCCATGCTGTCGTCCGGTTCAATACCACGCCTGACCTACCGGGGTTTCATGTGGTTCGGCACTCCAAGTCCCGGGGCTTAGGTTGCCGGTTTCCACCCTTGAACAACATATCTTCTTGACTATGGGGTTTGCCCCATCTGCTGCTCATCACACACTGGTAAATAAAAGAATACAGCATTTATCTAAGAAACGTTCATAATCATTCTCTGCGCACCTTTAACACCTTGCGGTCATGCGTTTCGCCCATTATTTTGTCTCATCCATCAAAAAGTTGTTAGTTAGCCTGATTTGCTATTATTGAGCACCCTCGGATCCAAGGTTCTAAGTTTGAACCCCAACAGAGCTACCAGCTGTGATGAGCAGCTTTGTAGATGTTCGCATCCGAATTACACACGTATGGTGAACAGCAGAAGCGGTGAACTCTGTAGTCATGAAGACCTGCGGTTCAGTGGTAAAAACAGGCAACCGCAGCCCGGAGACGGAGTGCTGAGCCATATAAGGATCCACAAGGTCAATCCTGTAATTAAACCGACTACGGTGTAGCTGCTTACTGCTGCCGTTGGGTGGCGGTGGGCGGGCTCGCACCTTGGACCATAGGATCCAAAGCATCCCGGTGATAGAGAATAAACCGCTTCACCACCACCTATGGTTATCACTATCGCCAAGTTTATCATTTTGGGGCCTTGTGTAGTTCCAGACTGTATGTTTCCACTTCTTAACCAACCCACAGATTTTGTGACCATGGAGTAAAACCCTTTACATAACAATAATCTTTCAGTTAGTCAGTCTGGAGTACGACAGGAACTCAATATTTTGTAGTCTTTCAATTCAACATTTTTGTTTGGTGGGTAATAAGGATGATAAATCGAAAAATAATGAAGAAACAAGATTGAGATACAAAAACCGACAACCACATGAGGTGTCCATATGGAATAAAGTATTGAGTCCGGCGACAGCCATTCTATGTGCAATCAAAAGGCTCCACCATCTTATCATGTAAGCATAAGAAAAGCGAGGACTCACATGCGTGTTCAGTCTGTAAGACATCAGCTCGAACTCGCCATCTGGAGGAATAAAAGATATTGTACGGTCGTTTTCGAAGCGCGATAAGCGTACACACTGATGGAACTTCACATCTTCCAGTTCCACTGATTTGCCCTTCCCTCCTGAAGATTTACCAGTTATTTAAAATAAACAATCTTACTCCCAGTATTCTCAAATCGTAGTTTATCGTTAAGACCTAGTCGTAATTCTGGCATACCAGATAGGTACACACGGAGTTTTATACTGCCAACTATTTCGCTCCGTAACACATTCCCTGTAGAGCTAACCTGAAAAAAATAGAAGATGAAAAGAGATTTGTACCAGAAGGTTGACAGATTCAACTACATCCAAAAAGACTTCATTTTTTCGATACTTCAAATTTTCAGAACGCCAAGAAACTGCGTTCGTGACAGCCATCGGAGGACGAGGTGCAACTTCTAATTTATGGCTTTGTTGAGTGATGTATTCTTGCAATATTTTTGTGTCCGTTGTCTGTGGGTATCCGAAGTCCATGATTTCATCCAGCAGCTCGTAAGTGATAACGAAATTATCGCGGATGCTCTCCTCTTCAAACTCACCGAAGTATTCAAGGAATATCTGTAGCAAACTGTGTTACCGTTTTGATGCACTTACATTTATGAGCTTGTAAAGGAAAGACAGAGCCAAGGCGATATTTGCGTTCTTTCGAGTAAGACAAACCAGGTACAAATAATTGTACTTCACATAGGTAAATGTGATTTCGCCCAACTGCAGCACCGGAATTAAATTGCCCTCATCTTCTCGTTCCATAGCAATGGGCAAAAACTTTTCAATAGCATTGGTTTCAACATCCCCACGGTAGTTTCTATAGATAAGGACTTTGCCCTTGTTGTCCAAGATATACAGACCAGAAACAACCATCACTTCACGGCAGAACGTAGTGGAACAACGACTAGAATGCCAGCACCGCAGTTCGGGTCGCGTCGGGTCGGTTCACAGGACGTAGCGGCGGCGTGCCAATTTGTCCAGCTT